CTGCATCGACGCCTTCCGGTGCGGACACACACATGACACACACGGCACACACGGACGACACGACACACGACACACACACGACACATTCACGTCTGAGTGTTGTGTTGACACGCGTGGCAACCAATACAAGTTGGAGGACGAGGTGCCGCGCGAGCTGGGTGCGATAGAGGACATGACGCGGATGACGCGCCTCGGGCTGCAGTACAACTTCTTCGGGCGGGTGCCCGAGTGCATCGCGGCCGTCGCCAACCTGGTCTCCCTCGAGCACATGTACGCCGCCCAGCTCGTCACCGACCGCCTCTACATCGGTACTCTCACGCCCGCCCTTCCATTCTTTTTATTTCTATTTCTAGTATTAATAATAATATTAATAATATTATTCTTTTTGTGTGGAATAATAATTTGTTTATTAAATATTTTTAATTTAGGTGGAATCGATGCGGCGCGGAACAAGGTGCTGCTGCGCAAGCTCAACGTCACGCACGTGCTCAACGCCTCAATGATGACCCGCAGCGCCTACTTCCCCTCGGTACGCGCGCCAGCCGCCAAGACATCGTCTCCGCCGTCTCCCTGCTGACTCGTGTGCGTGTCGTGTCGTGTCGTGTGTTGTCGTGTGTCGCACGACACACACACAGGACTTCCAATATCTGGTGTTGGAGGCGATGGACAATATGCGGGAGGACATGCTGCGCCACTTCGACCGCTGTCACGAGTTCATCGACGAGGGACGCAACGCCGGCGGTGGTGTGCTCATCCACTGCCAGGCCGGCATCTCGCGCTCGGCCACAGTCGTACGTGGCTGCTCCTCCGCACGCGTTGTTTCATCTGAACTGACCCACCACACGCCGCACACACCGCACACACCGCACACGACGCACCGCACACGCACAGTTGGTGGCGTACTTGATGCGAACACTGCGGCTGCCGCTGGCCCAGGCGCTGGAGATGGCGCGCAAGAGTCGACCACAGCTGTGTCCCAACGACAACTTCCTCGCTCAGCTGCGCACCTACGAGGCCCAACTCGCACTCGCGCCCTCGCCCACCCACGCCGCCACCGCCGCCTCCGCCATCCTCCTCGCCACCGGCGGCAGCACCACCTTCCCACCACCACCTCCGACGACATCATCATCGTCGTCTTCTTCCTCTACGTTCGGGGTGTCGTCTTCTTCGTCGGCGGACTTGGTCGGTGGCGGGTGGGACCACTCGTCTTCGCCGGTCTGAGTTTGTGTGCCACAGCACTTGGTCGTTCAAAATTGTATTTGCTTTGCTTTGTTTTGTATCTACAGGTCCAGCATCTTCTTCTTGTTCTTCTTGGTGGGCGTGTCGCCGTTGTTGTTGTTGTTGTCCTCCTTCTTCTGCTTCTTGGCGGCGGGCGCATCGACCTTGCTGCTCGAGCTGCCCAGCACAAAGTCCTCGGCCTTGGCCTGCTTGGCGCCCTCCCTCTTCCTCTTGTTCGCCTGTGTGCCACACAGGTAACCAACAAAAGAAAGAATATTAGCAAAACAAATAACAAATAATAAAGAATAACAAATAATAAAGAATAACAAATAAATAAAGATAACATAACAAAATAAAAAGGGAGTGTGGCGAGGTCACAACTGTCGTCCGCGTGTGGGAAGCGAACGGACAACTCTAACAAACGGCTCGCGCCCTCCTCTCCCCCGGAAAGAAGAGAGGAGGGGTGCTCTAGTGCGGGAATGAGAGTGGAAGCCCACGGGAAGGACACGCACACGAAGGTGCGCGCCCCGCCAGGACCTCACCCAAAAGACGCACAACGACACGACACGACACGCACATAACGACATACACAACACGCGCGAGAAAGGAGAGAATTGAGGAATGAAACGTACGTGCTGTTGCTTGACCTTGGCGGCGAGCTCCATGGTGGTCTCCTCCTTCTGGGCCTCCTTCTTCTTGGGCTCCTCCTTGGGGGCGACAAAGGCCTTCTCCCGCTCGGCCTTCTTCTGCATCTTGGCCTCCCACTTCTTCTGCGCCTTCTCCTTGTCCTTCTGCTTCTTCTTCTCGGCCTCCGTGAGCCAGTACTCTCCGCTCTCCAGCTGCATGTCCAGCTTGCTGCGCACGCGATCGCCACACAACCAAATTAGACATCGTGTGCGTGTGCGTGTGCGTGTGCGTCGTTGCGTAGCAAAAGAGTACCTGGGCTGCTGGGCGGGAGGGAAGGGCGTGTATTCCTTCTTCTCCCTCTTGGGCTTGGCGGCCTTCTTCTTGACGTTGTTCTTCTTGAACTTGGGCAGGAATCGGTCCCAGTTTTCCGTCGCCAGCTGCGGGTCCTTGGCCAGCTCGCGCTTGATCATCAGCGCCTGCCACCAATCATCATCGTTCACCGTTCATCATCGTCATCATTAGCATTCTTTCTCGTAAAGAGAGAGGTCAAAGCGAAGAGTTAAGTTATGTTATGTACCTTGATGTTGTAGATGGGGTGGATATTGTTCATGCAGTCCTCGACGATGTTGCGGACCTGCTTGAGGCCCTTGTAGGGACCCATGACCGACACGGTGTTACCCTGCACCAGCACGTAGCACTCGGTCAACAGCTCGATCGCCTTGAGCGTCGCGCCGTTGGGACCTGAACCAGAGAACGCCAGGCGTAGACAATCGCCGAGTCAGTCACTCGTGGTGCAGTCATTTTTTAAAAAAAAATAATAATGATAATAATAAATTGAATAAATAAATAAATATAAAAAGAAAAGGGAATGTGGCGAGGTCACAACTGTCGTCCGCGTGCGGAAAGCGAACGGACGACTCTAACAAACGGCTCGCGTCCTCGCCCCCGAAAGGGGGAGGGGTGCTCTAGTGCGGGAATGAGAGTGGAAGCCCACGGGAAGGACACGCACACGAAGGTGCGCGCCCCGCCAGGACCTCACCCAAAAGACGCACAACGACACGACACGACACAAGGCCACACGACACGCGGGATAGAAGAGGAGAAGAGCAAAAAAAAAAATAAAAAATAGTGGAATGGTGGTTATACCGATGAGCCGCTGTCGGCGCTTGACGAATCGTTCCTTGTTGTGCACCATGCCGCCAATCTTGATGACATCGCAAGCCACATCGTCGCCCAACACTCGCACGGCCTACGCATGGCATAGATAATAAGATTATAAATTTTAGATTAGATAAAGATGTGTAGAAACAAAAATCACAACAAAAGTACAGTACCTGGGGGAAGGGCACGCTTCTTGCGAGAAGCTTAATCATGTCTCGGGCCTTGAGAATCATGTAGGGATCCCACGTCTTACGTGTTGTGCGGACAGTCATGGAACCTGCAAACATTGAAAATGAGCACATTCGAGATGCAGGTGCGAATTTTTTGAATGGAAGTAGAGGGGTAAAAACCTTCGATGAGATTGAGGGTGCAATCAATGCCGACATCCTTCAGGGCCTTGGTGATGGCGGCCCAAGATTCCCGGAGGTAGGACTCGCGATACTTGGGGAACAGAGTGGCGAATGAAGACTCCTCCAGGAATGAACCTGCCTTGTTGTCCTCGGGTTTGAATGCATCCACCTTCCAGTGGTCAATGCTATCATTGTCCCACGCTGCAGTTCCCATTAAGACGACATCAGCCTCAAAATCCGCGAAGAATTCGCCAACGATTAAATGGAGAGCACGTACGTACGTTTGTCCTTCCTGTACTTCTTATGATTCTTCTTCTGCGGCGTGGAGCCGTTCTCCGCCGACGGCTGCGTATGTGTGTCAGCCATCAGAGTATGTCCTGCTTGTTCTGATCAGATTGAATTCCGATTGTCACGCCAACGCAAGCTCCGCCACACTGGCTTTTCCTTTCTCCGTTTCTTCTCTTCTCTAGTTTTTCCCTAAGTCCCGACCTCCACCTTAAGTTGGCGCGAAATTCTCCTTGGACGCGTTCTGCTTTTCTGCGGACAAAGAGACCCAGTGTGGCAACCCTGTGTGGCGAAGAGTGCAGCTGATGCCAGAACATAATCACCTCGCCCCCAGCTCTTCTTCATTCAGGCGGGGTCTTGTTGTAAGCACATATAATTTCTAAGAATTAATTTGTTGCCAGGACAGAAAAGTGTAAAATAAAATAAAATAAACAACCCAACAACAACTTGTTGTTCGATTATTGACCTTGTAGATGGACACCTCAAAGTCTCTTGTGGCCCTGTCCTCCTTTTACGAATTCACTCGCCTTTGCGAACGAATAGGAGATGAGGCCTCCTACACGCAAAAGGTCGAGGTGGTGAAGGCGCACCTCAAGCCCCTTCTGGCCTCCGGCAGCAAGAAGAAGCTGAGCGAAGAGGAGCAGGGGGCAACGGCTACGGTGGTGCAGCTCACCTGCGGCCTCCTACTGTGCAAAGATGATCGCAAGCGCGTTTACAACCTTC